CCCCCCAGCTTTTTGGACCTTCCTACGCGCCTGGTCACGCTCGATTCGCCCGGGCTGCTGCAGCCGCCCTGTGGTGGTGGTGGTGGTGGTGGTCCCGATATGGAGAAGCCATTTCACGTCTAGTTTTCGGCTACGCACCGATACCATCGTTTGGCCGTTTCGTTGCACACGGTGTTATGATCCATGCGCGCACACACACGCACACACACACACTCTTTCTCTCTCACTCACGCGGGCACTCTCGTCCGCAACACATTTCGCACACGTCCACCACTAGGGGGCGCGCGCGCGCGCGCTCGCAAACTTTGTCGTATAGCCGCCAAATGCCGGTGTAAGAGACTCTATAAATATGTATCGCGGCCGTTACTCAGGTATCGGAGCCGTTGTTGTGAGCGCGTGGATGATGTAGGTGTGCGCTGCACCACCCCTCTCCCTCCCTTCTCTCTCTCTATCTCTCTCCCGCTCTCTTCCAAAACATGTTTCCTTCGCGCGCGACTACCGCGCGGCTGTGCATACAATATTTATCTGCGGCGGTGGGCTTCATATGCAGATGAAATACGAGCGCGCGTGCCGTGCGTGCGCGATGGATAGGGGTTGTACATCCAGCTGATCCATTCTCTAGTAGTGTGTACTTTTGTTCCGTCATGCGTCACCGTCACACTCCAACAAGTGTATTTTTTGTTTCCTAAACTCTCGATTTTTTTAAACTTATTTTTTAAAAATGCTTAGCATACCCTGAAATTGTTCGGGGCCTATGGGACACCCTGTATTTACCTTTCTAACGGATTGCGAAAATATTTCGATAAATTTAAGCATATGGGAATGTTTTGGAAAAGGTCAAAGGAGAGGTAATCTCATTTCAAAGAGAGAAATTTTCAGTCTTCTTTTTAATGACTTTTTCCTTTTTTGAACCCAATATGGAGGAGGGGCCTCCTTGCTCAACGTTCCAGTACTGTACAAGCCAATAATCTTCGCGGAGCAGCGGAAGGAAGGGGCGTCTTGTTCATTACCGAGATGGTTATCGACCGGGCCGACGAGCTGTCGGTAAGGGCCTAAACACTCGCGCACCGTGCCGGCCAGGCCGCGCCCGCGCACTGCATGGGAACACACCGGCTCCTCTCGCACGCCTCTCGGCGCGGTTACTTAATAACTATAGCGACCAAATTATAATGCCCCGTGGGAAACGCCCCAGCGTGGCAGGGCGCGGTGGGGTGGGGCGGGGTGCGGTGGGGTGCGGCAGGGCGGGCGTTCCACTCATGACGTGGGTCTTTGCAATAACGTCGGCCCCGCGTGCTCGTACTTAAGTCCACGCGAGCATTGCCGCGTCGTCAACCAGACCATATATTGTTTGCGGGGCCCACCGCGGCGGTGCGCGCTGCCCGGTGCGCTGCCAGTCTCCCTGTACACCCCCGCCTTCGCCCCCGCCACGCCCGGGTCCTGAGGGTCGACGACACAGCGCACTCGTGCACGAGTCCTGATCCGGAGGACCAAAATATGCGCAGTACACTACAGCCGCAACGTTACTGGCGTAAAAGAACTTTCAGAGAAGGGAATGGTTATCCTGTAGGTACAAACACCCAGGAGTAACCCTTGAGGAGTGAATGTCGGCGCGTTCTTCTTGAATTTCGCGCTATGCCACTGCACCACGTTTCCACGTGCCTGGTGTGCGCGCACGCGCCCGCTCGCCCGCCCTGCCCGGAGCGCGGCTCATGGGCTCCTCCGCGGGCGGACCGCAAACAGCAGATGCCGGGCGCTCACTCGCGCGTCGACCATCCGCATTTCTCCGCGCATGACTGACGGACTGCCGGGCGTCGGGACGTGAAGGTGGACGAGGACGTGAACAGAGAACGCGGATCTGCCCGCGCGGCGCGCCCGCCCGGCTGTCCGGCGGACTTCCTCCATCCGCCCGCTGTGCGGCCCGCCGCCGCCGCCTCTGGTGGATGCTGGATTACCCGCGGCCGGCGCGGTGGCGGCGCCTGGCGCGCTGGAGTGGAGATCTGGACCACACAGCATCGCGTCCCGGTGCATCCTCACGACACGGATGGGGGCCGCGGCCGCCGCACAACGGGACCCCCCCGGAGGCGTGTTGACGCCGCCGCGCCCTCGACCCGTGTCACGCCACACCTGTTCCCGCCCCGCAAGTTAGTGGCGCGAAATGCCGACAGGCGCCATACACTTCTCACCTTCATAGCGGCACGTCTCTCTCCCTGCGATTCGAGTTAATCCATTATTTGCTTCACCGTGCTCATGATGAAAATAAATGCATTGTGCTGGTAATGCGACAGTCGACACCTATGTTGGACACCGACATTCACAAAACTTTTACTGGAAGAACAACTCTTTGTAAATTTCACACTTTCTGAAATTTCTTAGCAGATCTTCAATTTTTTGAATTTTTTGTTTGTTTGTTTTTTATTAACTTTTATTTTGAAGTGGGCAATAGTTTTTATTTCTTAAAGTTAAAGGAATTTTCCAGAACAAATTTGTGGAATTCTCCGCGCAGTTTGGAATGTTGCGAACTGTTTGGGATGCAAAACTTTCCAATCAGCTGCTTGTAGCAATTCCCGACCGGAATGTTCCACCGTGGGGGCGTCGTCGGCGGCGACGCGTCACGTCGAGAGGGAAAACGCACCCGCCGCGTCGCCACGCGCGCCTCGCCTGCCATTCTCGGCGCGACGCCGCCGCAACGCCGAGTGTCGAAACGAAAGCCGATCGAAAGCCACACCGAGTGTGCTTTGCATCGCTTACCTCCACAGTTTTCTATGACCCCCGCACCCCTGACTCACTCTTGGATCTGTCTCCTTTGCCCGCAGCTTCGTGCAGGAGTTCGTGGACTCGGCCGTGGACGGCGTGTCGCTGCTGCTCGAGCTGCTGCGCACGGTGCAGCTGCAGCAGCAGGGCGGCCAGGGCGGCGGCGGCGTGGCGAGCCAGCGCCAGGCGCTGCTGCAGGAGAACGCCTGCCTGCAGTGCCTGCACGGCTGCCTGCGCTGCCCCGACGCGCCGCGCCGCCTCGCCGTCAGCAGCGCCGGCCTCTTCACCCTCGCCGTCTCCACCATGAGCAGCGTCAACAAGTCCAGGGTGCTCGCCCTGCAGGTAAGAGTCAGGCACTGGGGAAAACAACAACAAAGGTGCTCAGTTGCACACCTCTGCTACCATGTTTTTGAGCTGATGTGTTTGCAAAGGCACTAAAGAGCTCTAAAGGAGGTGCAACCATCGGAATAATTCAGAAAGTACGAGAAAGCACGTCCGTCAGTCGCCGTCCGAAACTGACAAGTTCAGCCGATGCTAGCTCTCGTAGCGCCTGATAGGTAGGCAACATCTTGCCTGCAGTGCATGCGTTTTCTGCGGGGTAGCCTACCCCGAGTCTCGCAGGCGCCTACCCCTCGAATGAATCTGAGAACAACGGGCGTACTTTCTGGACGACATACCTTTGTTTTACCTTTGTAAAGGTATTACCCTTAACACCTTTTAACGGCGCGACTGAACATCTTTGTCTTTTTCCTGGGTAACCGCTGGAAATTGCATGTAAAGAGTTCTAAAATGTATTTCATTGATTCAAAAGAAGAACTTTCATCAAATAATTCAGAAAATGTATATCTTAAGATATCAGTTTGTTTCACTTTCTATATAACGTTTCTTTCCTCTACAGCTGCTCGCCAAGACGTGCGAGGGCGCTGCCGAGGGCCACGGCGCCGTGTCCGAGGCGCTGTCTACGATGCGACTGCGGTTCGGCGAGCCGGTGCGCTTCAGGTTCCTGGCGGGCGTGCTGTCGTCCGCGGGCGGCCAGAGCGACCTCCTGCTCGCCGGCCTCCGCTTCCTCAACGCCTTCCTGCGCTCCGCGCCGGGGCCGCAGCATCGTGTGTACATCCAGGTGCGTACAATAAGTTTAGCAAACGTTTCTCCGCAAACAAACAAAATAGGGCTAGTGTTTTTCATTGTTTCGGATTCCTGAATAAATGTGGCATTACCATTTGCAGGCCGAGCTTGGCCAGGCGGGCTTCCAGCCCGGCGCCCTCCGCCAGACGCTGCCCGCGACCACCGCCGCCTCCGTCGAGGTCCAGGCCGAGTTCGACGCATGGGAGCGGCAGCAGGTGGACGTGAACGCCCTGACGCAGCGCTGCCAGCAGGCCGAGAACCGCGCCACGCAGCTGCAGGACCAGCTGAGCCAGCTGCAGCGCCGCCTGCAGGTGCTGTCGCTGGAGCAGGCGCTCAAGTCCACCAAGGACGGCAAGGACGAAAAGGACGAAGAGGACAGCCGATCCACGCCCGCCGAGGACGAGGGCATTTCGTCGTCGGACCAGGACCGGTCGCTCTCCCCGGACGGCGTGGAGCGGGAGCCCATGGTGTACGAGGTGGTCCTCAAGGTGCCCGACGGACACCAAAACGGTCACAGAAGCGCGCCGCGGACCGCGCCGAGAACGGCGCCGCGCGCGGGCAAGCCGGCGCAGCGCGACGAAGTGCGGGATGACGACGACGAGGAGGAGACCACGATCGAGGAGGTCATGGAGGAGTTCCAGAACATCATCAACGACGCCGAGACGGAGGTGTACGCCAACCACGTCAACAACCGAGCCTCGTCCGACCTGGACGTGACCAAGAACGTCTACGTCAACAGCGAGACGCTTACGGCCCGAATACAGGTCCCCTACCCCCAAGACAATGTCATCAACTTTAACAGCATGAACGTCATTCACAACATCAACAACATCGCACAGCACAACAACAGCCGGCCACCCGTCAAGTCGGGCAGGTTGCGGCTAGAGGCCCTATTCCAAAACCCAGCGGGCAGCACCCCTCAGCCGCCGCAGCCACCTCAGCCGCCGCAGCCGCCACAGCCCTCGCAGCGGATCCAGCCGCCGCCGCGGGGCGCATCCCTCCTTCAGTCACAGAAGCTGAACGACGAGGAGGATGTGCAGCGGCTGGCCGAGCAGCACAGCGAGAGCGAGATCGTGCCGTGCGCGCTGCTCCCTCAGCCACCGCGGCGCACCAAGAGCCTGGTGCACTTGTGCGCGCCGAGCAAGGACTACGTCAACCTCTGCAACTCGTCGCCCTTCTTCGACGACGCGGACTCGTTCAGCAACGTGAGCGGCGACGGCGACAACTCGGACTCGCTGCTGAGCGCGTCCCGCGAGCAGTTCGGCCTGGGGCTGGGGCTCGGCCTGGGGCTCGGGCTGGGCCGCGGGGATGACCGCGACTCGTCCACGACGCGCGACAAGAACCTGCGCAACGCGGCCGAGAGCGCGGCCGCGGGCCCGGACTCGGGCAGCGCCTCGAGGACGTCCAGGACCTCCCGGGGATACCGGTCCGTCGCCATGATCATGCCCGACGAGGACGTCGTCGACTGCGACAAGGACGACGACGTCATCAAGCCTGTCGAGGTGAGCGTGTACCAGGGCATCCCGGACATCCTGCGCTGCAGCAAGCAGAGCCCCTCGCCGAGGGGGTCGGACCCGAGGGCGGTGGACCTCGCCACGGTGCGCAACGGCAGCAACTACCAGCCCGCTGGGGGGCCGGCCTCCCTCAGCCTCCCCGTCAAGCCGGCCGCCTCGACCACCACCTCGGCACCCTCCGCCCCGGCAACCCCTCCCGTCAAGTCGCCCCGGAAGGCGAGCAGCGAGCAGGCCGAGAAGCAGCCGTCTGCCAGGACGGGCAGCTTCGACGGACTGTTCTACGTGGCCGACACCCCAAAGAGCACAAAGACAAGCAGCGGCAAGCCCCCCATCGTGGCGCCCAAGAAGAAGAGCACGCGCTCGGCCACCAGCGCCTCGGGCTCGGAGCGCTCCGACTCGCAGCGCTCCAGGACCGACAACGCGCCGCGCCGCTCCAAGTCCAAGAGCCTGGAGCGCATCGACGAGGGTCTCAACTCGATGGTGGACATCGTCGTGTCGCAGAAGCAGCAGCAGCAGCAGCAGAGGCTCGCGCCTGAGGGCGTGTTCCAGGCGCGCGAGTGGAGCGTCGAGTGGGGGCAGAGCCGCCTCTCCGCCGCCGGCAGGCTGCCCGTCCCCGGGGGCGGCCCCGCCCCCAGTCCCCCCGGCCCCGTGGTCATCGTGTCCAGGTCGACGAGCGTCCGACACCAACAGCGGCAGTTCCAGCCGCCCTCGCGGCCGCCGGGCAGGACGCCCCCAGAGGGCGCCAACAACAGCGGCCCGCACCCCCTCTTCCTCCCCGTCAGCTCCAGGGTGACCGCCTTCGAGAAGGGCGACCCCCGGCACCACATGGGCCCCATGCCCATGGGACCTATGGGGCCCATGGGGCCTCTGGGTGCGCCCGCGGGGCCCGTCAGCGCCAGCTTCATCATCAAGAGGGGGCACACCAACGCGGGGCTGTACTCCGGACACCACGTGCTCAGAGACACGCACAACCCCGGTCACGGCCCTGGTCCTGGCCACGGCCCCGGCTCTGCCTTAGCCAAGATCGTCACCACCGCGCAGGTCCCCGGCATGCCTGGCATCCCCGGCCTCGGCATGCCCGCCGACTACGCTAGAGGCATTCATGTAAATCTTGCTTTGCCCAGTGGAAAGCTCACCGATCTCCCCTCGGGTTTGTATTAATAGATATGATAAAT